TGATTTATGCCCTGCGATCTTGATATAGTGACCAGGGTATAAAACTGATTTATGCCCTGCGATCTTGATATAGTGACCAGGGTATAATATTTGTTATACAGAATATATTATGTTCGGGTATAAAATGGTCTGATATTTTAATGAAATTGGTATTATTTATTTCCTGGGGGGAGTAGAAATTATAACAGAGGTTACCGATGATCATAGCACATGGATGCCATCCACGTACTATGATAATCGGTAACCTCTGTTATAATTTCTACTCCCCCAGGAAATAAATAAATAATCCCCAGGAGCGTGTCACTAGATGTAATCGGACTACAATACCATACCATTATTTTTACACGTGTTCATATTTATATTCGTATTGTGGGCTTCACTTTATTTTTTTCTTATTTACATCATTTTTTGTTGTTTTTATCTTTTTATCACCTTTGCTTTTTACTTCTACGTTTAACTTTTTTTCAACCTCTTACTTTCACTTTGCTTTATCGTGCCTTTTTTTAGCTTCATTTTACTGTGCCGATTTACTTTTAAAGTTCTTTAGATAAAACGTGAAAAATACAAAAAAGAAAATGAATCAAATAAAATTAAGCGTTAAAATTAGAGTTTCCCGATGATCAACATCTTTCGTGGGAAGATTCCCGGTCACGATATGATTATCATAAATATGGTTAATCATGTGTAAAAAATAATGATGAAGGTAGTCATGAGTGACACTTAATGTGACAGAGGATTAGTATCAAAAATAATAACCATTAGATAGGCGATGTTGATGAATCATATAATATTGGATACCAATATCTTCATGGAATTGGAGTTGAAAGAGATGCATATAGAATGATTGATGCTGATGGAACATAATGTGAATATTGATATCTCCATGTAATTGGAGTTAAAAGAATAATCGAAATTGACAAAAAAAAAAAAAAGAAAGATCTTCAGAAAAATCATGTAAATCTCATAATAAATCATAAGAAAATGCAAATTTTTACTAACACAACTACTTTTGTGTCTTAAGTAAAAAAGGATCCTAATCTTATTCTAATTTCGTCCCTGTGATTTCGTGATGATGACAGCGAAAAATTTCTGTGATTTTATTCCCTATTGATCATAATTTTCAATCAATAACGTCTATATTTTATTCGAAATATTTAAAATTCTCTAAGAATCGAAAAATCTTGATTTTACATGACATCATGATCTGCAAATGTCTCACCTTTCATAATAGATGGGTAACCGAATAATTTGATAAATTATTCGGTGTTACAACATAAAGAAGGTATTTGGGTTAAGGACAGTAAAACTAGTGTTCCGCAAAATAGATTCGAGATTCGGATTCGATCCGCAAATCCATTTCCAGATCCTGTGGATCCGATTCCAAAGATAGATTCGACCGAATAATACTGTAAACTGCCGCATAAAAGACCCGGGTCTCTTGCACCCCACCAATATTAAAACCTAATATAAGACCCCGAGTTTAGTACATGGTGGAGAGTTTGTACCGTTAAAAGGATAAATTTAGAAAGCATGCATATTTTTCATTCATAGTGGGCAGCCTAGATATTTTAAAAAAACCGCATTTGGTTATTGTAGATTTTGAGATACACACCCGGGTCTAGTACATATGGGGTCTGAAATCTGGGGGATCTTGTATACGGCAGTTTATGGTATTCGATTCAGATCCGAAATACACAAACGCTAAAACTCTGATTTCTTGTGATCTTTTTTTTTTTTTTAAATTTTATTGATCTTTTTTTTTTTGCAAAGCATATTAAATATTACTATTCAAATACATCGAGCTAATAGTGCCAGATATCTAACTTCATTGAATAAATGAATGTGCAGTATATATTAATAGGATTGTGTGGATTAAGAAGATTCAGGTGCGAATATTGCTTCTTGTGAACTATAGCGCGTCTATTTCTTATCGTTATGCTTGTTTTCTTAAATGAGAATATGATTAGTGCTTAATTAGATCAAATTCCAAATTAAGCAGTTATTAAATATACTTAACGTATAATCGGGAAATAACACTCATAGGGCGTTATTGGGTGCTTCAAAAATAACATATGGGGTGAGTCAGTAGAAACACCATATTTTTTTAATGAATTTTTTTGAATTTTCAAACAAAAATAACTTAGCAAAACTTAACCAACAAGTTTTTAGAATTGGTTTTAAAAAAAATTTATTAAATTTGATTAAGTTGTCGTTGAGTTATTCTTACTTAAAGTTTAAAATAGAAAAAATATGGTGTGTTTCTACTGATTCACCTCCATATGGTCTTGAATTAGCGCTCATGAGCGTCCCAAATTAACGCGATAGATGTACAGTTGATACTCTCTATAAGTGCATTCCACATGCACTTTCCCTATAATGATAAATGCACATAATTTGATCAGCCTAATGTAATTATTTAATACTGTATGTAGATTATTCTCCATAAATGAAATACTCTATAAATGTATTTTTACCAAACAACATGCATTGAAGGCTAGTTGTATTGAATTTAGAAATATTCTCTTATTTCAAAATTACGCACATGGGCATATTCGAAATAACGCGCAGGTTGGCATTATTTCTCACATGGTGATTAGAATTAATATTAATAGTTGTATTAAAGGTCTAACTGGCTTGTTCCTATATTCCTGCTTAGCAGTCTTTTCAATATGTTGACTTCTTTCACCTGATTTTAATTTTATTTTTTAGTTAAATTCATAAATTCATTCAATTTTTTTTTTTTTAAATTAAAATTTGATTGGCTTTTTTTCTTTATTTTTTTGTTAAAAATTTGCACTTTGGAGTTTGCGCTTAGGTTGGGTTGATATAATTTAAAGTAACAAGTAGTTTTTTGTATAACTAGAATAAAGAAATCTTTCATGAATCTGGTTGGATTCAGCATTATATGGATTCAAATCCTATCTTGAATTCGATTCATACTTCCGAATCTTTAGAAATATTCGCCAGATTCGGTCCGTTAAGGAAGTGAGGACTAAAGGGTTTAAGAGAAAACTATCCATATAACCAAACTACAACACTAAAAACAATCCAACTATCATCCAAGGCTCCTAAATCCTTGAAGTGTAAGGCAGAGGAAAGACTTGATCCGAGTTTCAAGGCTTTCGGGTCTTGTTGCAGCATGATTATTATTCAAGATAAGTATAACCTTGTGTTATAATTGTACTTGTTTGATCGTAGGTCCCAATAAGTTGTTAAGAAAACTCTTTTTCTTGTATTCAGCACAACAGGGCTTTGGTATTTCAATTTTGATCGTTAAGATTCTTAACAATTGTCACGTGGTCACATGTTGGTAAAATTAGATTTTTGACATAATAGTAGGACAATAGTAAGAATGATGAAATCAATTTAGAGTTTATTTGGTTTTATATAAACGGGAGTCTGATTACTAAGATACTTTTCTCTTTTTACTTTTATGGATCAAGAATATCGAAGTTTACGAATATCGCAGGGACAAAAAAATACGATTAGTCAGTTTTTATTACAAATGATTTTGTGTTCAAAGGGAAGTATTTTTTAGAGAACAACTTCTACTTTTATATTTTCGAAGTTAAGAACTCAACTGAGTTAAATTTTATTGAAACAAAAAGATAGGTCTAAAATATCTTTCGACCTTTACTGCGTACATGAAGGTTGTGTTTTACTAATTTATACTATTTTACTATATCTTTCAGTTTCTATCATATATATTTGAAAGAAGGTAGTTGACATGGTATGTAATTGTATCTGCTAAGACAAATGGTACATGTCACTCTGGTTATATAGACATTTTCGAGACATTAGTAAAAAAATTCAAAATGTCGATATATATTAAAATTTTTGAAAAGAATGTTGGTATAGAAAGATTTTGCTATGATGTTGTTATATCCAAAGTGACGTGTACTACAAGGTATGAAAACTCTATTTTTAGCAGGGATGATCCTTTCTGCTTTTCTGGTCTTAATCTTTGTTGTAATAGTAACAATAATAATAATAATATAATAAAAATGAAAATAAAATAGTAAATAATAATGAAAAAAAAAGAAATTATAAATTGTGAACACCTATGCCCTTCACAATTCTCCCTCTCTTATGGGAGAGTTCTATGAGCAGTTATTGTAGTGACTGCTCGTAGTTGTCGCTAAACAGTTTCTGAACTTTGCTGACAATTGTCCAGTTGGTGCAGTACAAGTGCTCCACACCCAAAGGTTCGAACATATGATATAGGTGAAGAGATGTGTCAATGTAATGGCAGGGAATGTCTTGCCAAAGATCAGTGATTTGTTTTTGGCATGCTCTATTGAGCAACGAGCCCAAATAGAAAGTGTGGACTAAACTTTCAATCCTTTCCCCCAAGAAGTATTTCTTGGTATGTGGCATTAGCTTTTGCAGTGAAGTCTTGCCCATCGTAGTATGGTGTAAAAGGGCGAATTTGGGGTAATTATAATTCATAGCTAAAACACAGCCAAAAAAACAAGGCTACTCGAAAGAAGTGAAGATTTGGTCCGAGTACCAAGGATCCTACTGCCACTAGAATCCTTGGGGCTATTGTTAGATAGTCTTTATAATTATAATACTTTACTACTTTTCAGAGACATGAAGTCAATGGTTATTTATACATTACAGATAACCTTGGGGCTTTGCTACAACGATTAGAATCTCTAAGCAATATGACTATTTAAAGTATCGGGGGAATCTATGACTAATGATGAGTAATTCATGCTCATTTTATGGCTATGACTTTAGTTCTCACCATCGAATCAGGGCGTCTTACTATTGTTCTTCAATGGAGCATCGCCTCAAGCCAAACCCGAATTGGCATTTATTAAATTCCTTCGCTTTTGTCGATCAATGCGCATTTCAGGTCCCGAGTCATATGCTTGGATCACGTTTTTCGCTGCGGCCGGTCACATTACCTCTTCACACCGTGCAGAACACTCATCCCCAATAGGCCAAACGATCTGCAAATTTGACCAGAATTAGATTGGTTTGAAAATGTAGATCGATTGAAAGATTCTAGTTAAGGTTTCTCTAAATACTTGATTAAACTCAGTAAAATTTTTTTTATTTTAATTTTAAACTTTGCATGATTAAAATAAAAAAAAAATTGATATATAGTTGTTGAGAAATCTTCACTAAAATTTTTAAAAAATTTTGAATTTTACAAAAAAATTGACTTTAAACGAAGATTTCTCAACAATTGATTCAAATTCGATAAAAAATTTTTTATTTTAATTTTGTAAGTTCATAGAATTAAAAAAAAAAAAAAATTTATTGAAATTATTTTGCAAACCTTAATTATTTTATCATCAAATTCTGTATTCTTGCAATCATCGACAAAAAATTGCTCGATTGTTAGATAAAGCATGCCCATCTTTTACTATCTTACAACAAAAATACCTTAGTTGTCGCACCAACTGCTACGGTATATTCTCGATTTTAATTAGCTAACTGCCGTGGTTGACAAAATTTTGGCCCGCATTATACAATAGTTACGTAATTTTTGGCCAGAATTAAGTTTTTTATTACAATTAGGGAAATAGGCCTACATTATAGTAAAATTAGGTCAGTAATATTTTGAGTAATTCAGCCTAAATTTTTGATCATCGCTCTTAACCATCAAAATCGAGAATTTGCTGAGCTAGGATATTTCTTGCAATACTGTAATTCTGTAATTTGTGTACTTCATGCTAAACCAAGCAATAATTATGATTTATCCGACAGGTCCTATGTGCGCATTAGACGTTTTTTTGTATATATTATTCGATCACTTTCTAATCATGTGAAAACTCGTTTTTTTGATATTATTTCTTTTTGCGTAACTCATAAAACTCATATTAGTGAAAGTTAAGGGAAAAAGATTTAAGGAAAAAGATTTAAGGAAGGAAAAAAAGTAAAAAAAAAGTTAAACGAAAAAAATGATGAGCGAAAGTGGAAAAGTAAGCGAACGTAAAAAAAGAGTAAAAGTGAGTCTAATGATTAGAAAGATCGAATAATATATACGAAAAACGGCAGTGCTTACGTCGGGCCTTACGGATAAAAACAATATAAATCAGTTATCATCCACAACCTAACCAATAACAAGTACTTATTAGCCAGGAAATAAAAAAGTTGGCATCGGCTAGCCGGTTAGCTAAGCCGCTCTAGTCGGCTATTATCGACTACGCCGACTATAACCCATCCCTAGCTTGATTATTGTTTATGAGTGCTCTGTGTATTTCTTTAAATAAAAGATAATAGCTAATAAAAAAAGATTTCTACATTTTGCTAAACAAAATTCTCATGATTTACTAGAAGTGTCTGTGGTCTAATAAGAAATAATACGAGTGTAGCAGATAAGAGTTCAACAGATCTACAAAGGTCATAAGCAGAAGGCAGAAACCCATAGATAAAGTCAGATGTTATTCACAAAGTTTTTTTTTGAATTCCTTTTTATATTGTTACTCATAGCCTGCACGCGATGTATTGTGTAATATTCAAGAGTCATGTGTCTAATAAGTACTCAATCAAGAGTCTAAAATAGACATATTTGGTTATGATTGATACACTTGTTAAACCTGTTATTTAGCTGGGGTCACTCGACATAGAAATCTAGGATAGGTTAGATTAGCGTTAACTCTGATTTTATACTTATAAATTTACAAATGCAACATATTATCGCGAAATTTGAAATGTTTAGAGAGAAAAGGTCACAGGGAGTGGCAACTACATTTTTCGCGAGTTATACAGGCTCTTAAAAAGGAAACGACCATCAGAGAGCACAAAGTCTACTATTCTGCGAAAGAAGAAAAAAAGAAAAGGAAGTAGATCGACCTTGAAATACTAATTAAAAATTACAGGAACGAAATTTTACATATAACAAGTGATAATCTATTGCTATAGCCTCTAATACTAACGTTCCAACCCTAAATTTCTGTACGCGTCTAGTTTATTTACAAAAATAAATTTCCTTTTTTTAAGTGCTGGAATTTACGTCGATCAAAAAAAATTGCATTTATACAGTAATACTGTATAAAATTTGGTACGATTTAAAATTTGCAAGTGCTTAATTTTCCATATGTAAGTTATATAAATAAAGAAATAAAACCAGTGTCAATTTCTTATTTAGAAGCTATTATGCGACCCGTCACGTTGCAAGCATAAAAATCATCTAATTATTATATATTTTATTTAGTATAATCTATCATTTTTTGAGTGTATTGAATTTTATCAGTCATTAATTAACTAAAAATCGTAAAATACTTGCAATTGTATTAACTAAATAGTGATACAATAATTTATGGAGCATCCATAATTTACATTAAATCAGTATTGTTATAGGGATCTTAAAGATAACAAAATACTAAGGGTGGGTCTGGTATTATGGCGCACCTAAGAGTTGCTCATATAAAACTTTTCAGAAAAAATTTATTTGTTCTTTAAATTTATTTAGATATATTAATTATCTAATTAATTACCTTTTATATATAAAAAAAAAAAATAGAAGTAAAAAAAAAGCTTTTGAAATTTGAACTTTTAAATCTATCAAAAAACTGCTACGTTTTTTTAAGTGGGGTATTATGCCGCACTATGTATTTCGTATTGTACGTATCACTGTCCGAATGAGGAAAAAATTGAACACGTGAATAATACGTGACCTTTCAATAATTAGAACCCTGCGATTTTTATAAAATTTAAATCGTCTCAATGAGACGAATCGAATGGTACTAAACTGATCAGTGTATTTCGAGATATCATCGAAAAACTTCGGTGCGCCAAATTACCCACCCGCGCCAGAATACCGACCCTCCCTTATATAGCATTATCTTCAAAGTCTCCATTTCTATACAATACAGCCAGGTTTAACGTAAATCATGGATGCCCTCAAATATGTAGATGATTTTTTATACACACGCACTACAACACTAAATTAGCGTGAGAAAATGAAACTAAATAGTTTATTTTATATATTCTTCTGTCATACGTTATATTAGCGCGAATAAAATAAAAGCAAATATTCATAAATCTATACGACTTATTTCAATAGCCATTTTAAACACTTGGACCAATAAATTTTTTCAAATCAAGCATCAGATCAAAGCGAACAAAATGAAATAATAACTAAATATCCAAGAACATTTTTGAATAACTTATTTTAAACATACTAAACAATAAATTTTCGTCATAACTAAATTAACACAAACAAAATAAATTAGCAGTAAATAATCATGAACTTGAATAGCTTATTTTAAACACAGATTAATAAATAGTGCTTATACGCGCTAAATAAAGTGAATAAAATAAAATTAAATAATAAATATTCATGAACTTGGGTACCGTATTTTCACGGAATAACGCTCATGAGCGTTATTTCGAATTTTGGCCCGAATTAAGCTTAATTTATGCCAAAATTCGTATTTTAAATACTTAAATTAATAAATTTTCATCATCTAAATTTGCGCGAAATAAAATTAAACAGTGACCTCAATGGATTATTTTAAACACATAGTTGATAAATTTTCTTTATAATCACGTACTAAATTAAAGCAAACAAATGTAATTAAAATAAATTTTCACACATATAAATTAGCGTGACCAAAAATGAAATTAAATATAGTCCTAATGCCAACACTGGAATAGCTTATTTTAAACACATAGATTGATCATTTTTCTTTATAGTCACGTAATAAAAATAAATTGAATCTAAATAGCTTATTTTAAAAATATAGATAAATAAATAAAATTTCTTTATACTTGCACACAAATTGACGTGATGCCAAAGGAAATTAAATTAGCAAGTTTTTTTAATAAATTTTTTATACTTGTCTAAGTTAACGTGTACAAAATGAAATTTTATAGAATATTGTAAACATTTAAATTAATATTTCATTGTATTAATGCACTGATTAACTTGAAGAAAATATTCACAAACTTGAATAGCTAATTTTAAACGTAAATAAATAGTAATTATTCATGACTTAAATAATAAAGTTTCTTTATATTCATGTACTAAAAATTAATGTAAACAAATAAAATTAAATTCTCCAAAAAACCTAAAAATTGTGCCCAAAAATTTCAAAAACCATAGTTGCATCATTCGATTTCAACATCATCCGTGACAATAAAATAAGTTTCGCTTAGCGCTTTCTAAGAACATTGAATTTCGCACACTGGTGAATCACCACTAGTATTAAGTAAACCTCCTTAAAAAAAGTTGAGATATAAATTAAAATCTTATAAGCTTATCAGGAAACGTCCAGTTAGAGAAAGAAACAAGGTATTGGGAGAGCCGTTAATGAGCTAAAGTAGTGAGGGCAAATTGGTGTTTTTTTTTCAAATCTCATGCGTATTTGCCCATCACCGGGCCAAAGCGAAGCAAGTAATGGTTCAATTTTGAAAATGAAATTAGGATTAGAGCTAATAGAATTTAAGGTTAGAGAAGGTACTACGGGTAAATTACCATCCCGACTTGATTTATTAGTACCCCAAGTTAGGTTTAGAGCTTGTTTCTCATATTTTCATTACTTCCATTTTTTTGCCTTCAAGGTATAATTGTCTAACGCTAATACGGATCCCACCGCTTTAGTAATTAGAAATTGATAAAAATCGAAAAGCATCGTTACATGTGGTACTTATGTATTATTTGTGTAAATTAGATCGATCAATCAATCGATTCATTGACACATGATTTTGCCAATTTTGGAATTCTGCTGCTTGATTATCTAATAGCGATAGTACTGCACTTGTTTCGTATATATATAGCAATGGATGCCCCGAAGATCAAAGATTGAACTTTTTTCAGACTCTAAAAATGTCTTTACGTCAAAAAAAATCAGTAAATACCGAGTTTAAAGAATCTAATAATGAGCTCACACCAAATTTAAAAGCACAAACAGGAAAAACTTGGGGTCGTGATAGAGGTAGGTGTTAATAATTTAATAATAATCTATATTTTACTGAATTTCGATAAACATATAATTCTTTTTTTTTATCATATCTTTATAGATATTTCCTACATTACCGTATTATTTTCTACACTTATTCTTACTTGTTGTCCTTTATTGGTGTTTGTTTTTTGGGTGAGCTGTACCCATTATCAATGTTCACTATATGAACCTATCTATCGTCTCCAAATAAGTGGATTTTCCGAACAAGCTTTTGATTCCGTAGTATTACAAAAACTTCCTCAATTTACATGGGAGGGAATAAAAATATATGCACTATGGTTAAGCTTTCAGGCAATTCTATACGCAATATTACCAGCAAAAATCGGATACGGTCAAAGAACGCCAGCAGGACATATTTTACCTTATAAAGTATGTTTTGAAAAAATATTTCGAAAAAAAGATCTTTTTATTAATGAGAATAATATTAGCCTATATAAAGCTATTTTTTTGGTTCTCATATCATAAAATTTTCACAAAAAAATGACCCGACATCCGGCTTTCAATTTTACTTTCCAAAAATTACATATAAAAATTTTTGTCTTGATTTTTAAAAACAATCCATTCGAATAGTAAATATAAAAAATTTTTTCTTAAGTTTAGCAAATTTTGACCCGGCAGTTTATGAGAACCAAAAAACTAACTTTGCTTGGCCTTAATGCTTATTTTATTTTATTCTTTTTTTTTTAGGTAAATGGATTACTAGCTTGGTTTATTACTCATATTCTATTCCTTGCGGGATCATTCTACTTCAATTGGTGGGAAGGGTCTATAATCCATGATAATTGGGGAGCTCTTCTCATTGCCGCCAATATTTATGGATATTTTCTTACATTCTTTGTATTTGCAAAAGCATATATCATGCCTTCGCATCCAGAAGATCGTAAATTTTCAGGAAGTTTCATTTATGATTTATTAATGGGTATTGAAATGAATCCACGTTTTGGAAAATATTGGGATTTTAAATTATTTCATAATGGAAGACCTGGAATTATTGCTTGGACTTTAATAAATTTATCATTCGCCGCAGCTCAATATAATAAAATCGGTAAATATTATTTATAATGATATATTATTTAACTTTGTCTAAGAAATTATATAAGTAAATTATTATAACATTTTCTATTTTATTGAAGGATATGTAACAAATTCCATGATTTTGTTAAACTTTTTGCATGCCGTTTATGTGCTAGACTTTTTTTATAATGAAGATTGGTATCTAAGAACAATTGGTAATTAATATTTTTTTATTAGTTTTATACATTTGTTACTATTTAAATAATTGATTTGTTATTAATGTCTTTAGATATTGCGCACGATCATTTTGGATTCTATTTGGCATGGGGTGATACTGTTTGGCTTCCTTGGATGGTAACTTTTCCTTATATTTTTTGTTAATTAAAATTCTTTAATTGAACTGTTATTGCTATTATTATCATTTTATACAGTATACTGTCCAGTCTCATTACTTGGTTCGCAACACTATTGATCTATCTACTCCTTATTTTCTACTTGTGCTCTCAATTGGATTGTCAGGATATTATATTTTTCGAGCAGTCAATCACCAAAAAGATATTGTTCGTCGAAAGAATGGTGACTGTATTATATGGGGAAAGCCTGCACAATTTATTAGAACACATTTTGTTACAAGTGATGGAAAAGAACATAATAGTATTTTATTAACCAGTGGTTTTTGGGGTATCTATATTTATAATTTTATTATTATAGTCCTACTATTTTATTTTTATTATTATTTGTGTATATTAATGGTTTTTTTTTTTTCTTATAGGCATATCACGTCATTTCAATTATGTTGGTGACTTGCTTATTTCATCGGCAATGTGTTTAGCTTGTGGGTTTGATCATTTGTTACCATATTTTTATATCATTTATATGTTCATACTTTTAATTCATCGTATTTACCGGGATGACGCACGATGTCGAGGAAAGTACGGAAAGTATTGGGATAATTATTGTCAAGTCGTCAAATGGAAATTACTTCCAGTAAGTAAATGTTTTTTGCTTTTATTTTTTAACGGGATTCTAACTTTTTGTTCGTCTATCTATTGTTTAGTATGTTTTTTAAATTTCTAACTTTAAATTGAATATATAAGTTCTACAGAGTTTTTTTTTTTTTTTATCAGGATAATTATTATTTATAGCCATCGCGTGTGGATGAAAAATTTTTTTGATATTTTATTCGATTTGTTGTTTTTCTTTTTTTTTGGGGTTATGGTTATCAATAGGATTATAATTGGGTTTTAGTAGGTTAAAAAGGGATCTCAAATCTATTACATTAATTAAATGGTACTCTTTTTTTTAAATATAAAATATTAATATTTATAGGAAAATCGTGATGAAATTTCGATTTTTATAATGTCCGAGAACTTGTTATCAAAAAGCAATTTATCCTTGAAAAAATTTTATTATCTATTTAGAATTTTTTATTACTAACAGGTTTATTTTAATGAATGAATAGAGTTTATACAACCAACCTCTCCAGTAGAACAAAATCATTTACTATTGACACTTAAAATTTTGATTACCGCTCGGTATCATCATTATAATTTAAATATATATTGCTTGTAAATTTCAAGCGAAACTATTATAGTTATGAAGATCATGTTTATTTATTTTATTATTATTTAAGTTTTTCGTTTTTGATTTATCTAAGTACAAAGAATCTTCTTATCATATTTTGTGAGTTGTTTAGTTCTTGCTCTGTAAATACACAATTCATTATTGATTCATTCAAATACAGTACGTTAAATTTTTTTGTTAACAATAACATTCTTAAAATTTTTATTCATCTATTTCATCTCTCGTAAAATCGCAAAATAACGCTCATGAGCGCTATTCCAGAAACTGCACGCTTTAAAACATCATATTTTGTTTAAAAAAAAAACCAGGCCAGGCGTGTCCCAAAATAACAGTCATTTTGTATATGCATCAGCGGATTTGATGTATGTACATTAGGTTCAAAATTTTGACCCTTTGTTTCAAAATGACATACGTGGAGGTCTCAAAATAACACGCCCTTACGCGTTATTTCGCAACTATACAGTATAATAAACACAATTAATTAAATTGTAGGTAAATTTTAATGTAAAACGCGTTAAATTCTAATTTATTTTCAACATCTCCATGCTCTATTTTACAGTATTTTAATAAAGAACACTTTTTTCAAGAGTTTTTTTGAGCAAATGTTGATTACGATTTTTTCTCTTTTTGCATTATGTAAAATCTTTTAATTCCATTTAGAATATTATAAAGTAATTTCTATCCACGATATACTAAGCATATATATAAGTCACTTGAATGGGTTGAAATCGAAGTAATACAGAATAAGAATTTCAAAGCTAAGATATTAAGAAAAAATGAAATAGATATTGCAAATGCCTTCTACTGCATGTTAAAAAATTGTATATGTTTATAAACTTGTTGGTTTATTTATAATAAAAATTTTTTGAATTTTTTGAATTTTTTAAAATAATTGAGTTCTTTTCAATTCTTGTAATTGAATAATCTTTTATATTTTTAAGAAATTCATTATTCAATTCGGAAAGAACTTTAAAATATGTAGATAGTTATATAAATGAAAATTGTACAAAGAGATGTTAACTATTCTGGACTAAACCTGGCCAGCATAATCTGAGCATTCCCGATTTGATAGTTATACTAGAAACAAATTCAAAGAACTTTTAATTATTAAATTCACAGAATGCATTGAATTGATAATTTGAATGAAACAATGATATATTCTAAGAAAATTAATAAATGAAATAACAATTATACTCAGTGATTTTTTAATACGTATATTACGTAAAGATTCCTGCAAACCTGTTTTATCAAACCGATCTCTGGGTTAATGCTTGGCCAAAGCAGAGATTGTAGTATCTACCTGACCCTTATTAGCAAGAATAAATAATCTTTAATTTTAAAAAACTTGACCAATGCAAATAATTAAATCAATTAATATAAAAAGCCTTTCACATTCACTAAAATATCTTGTCTAAAATATGTATATTGACTGTTAAACTTTTAAGCGCACTAGGATAATAATAAAAATCTTTATAATTTTTTTAAGATCGAATTTCTAAGATCTTACTTGGTAGACTAAATTGAGAATTATTATTATTATTATTATTTTCGTATCTACTAAATTGAGAATTATACTGTATAAAATTATATAAAATTATATAAATAACAACCTACCGTATAAGCGCGTAATAACGCGCAGGGGCGCGTTATTTCGAGCCCCTGCGCGTTATTTCGGGACGCGCATGCGCGATAATTCAAATCATTATGCTAATTTTGAAAAAAATTTCAACTACTTTCTTGAATGATAATCTGTTACATATGGAGGGGCGCGTTATTTTGAGACGCGCATGGGCGTTATTTTGAGTCAAATATGCCATTTTTAAAAAAAATCGAAATTTCGAAATAACGCCCATGTGCGTTATTACGCGCTTATACGGTAGAGTAGTGATTTAATTAAGGGATCTGCAAACATAAAACTATTATGTTTTGTGGAAAAACGACAGGTTTCACTTCTAAATTAACATTTGTATATCATACAATATAATTAGTATTCTTTATTATAACAAAAATTTTGTATTTCTTATTTTATACTATCTATGTCTTTTCCTTTTACGCCAAAAGCTTTTGAAATATCTTACTTTAAAATGGCGTTTTGAGACTATCGACGAAATCAAACTCGAAACTTAATCGGCTGGCGCCCGTGTTATTATCTACATAAATTTAATCTAACATTTAACATTTAATTATTCTCATCTATTTATTTATTGAATATATATTGAGTTCTCATAACACACTTAAAGATCTAAACTGAATTCGCTTTCAAAAACACATTCGAACTCAATCATTGCTTAGATGCTTTTTTTTTTTTTTTTTTTTTACATATTTTAATATAGTCTATTGATAATGGCCAAAGGGTATTTAAATTTCATTTAAAAAATTATAAAGAGGTTAATCCTCATTTTCTAACTAGACATTATTTTTATCACAGTTTCGAGATAAAATTTTGATTATACTATTCTAGGAAACAGGAACTGTTGAGGTCCGGAACCTTAATACTTAGATTTTAATTATAGCTTTTCTTTAAAAAATTTATAATATATCATTTAAAATAAAAGGCTACCACCAACAACAGTAATAAATGTAAATTTAATGATATTATTTCAATATCATTTTTCTCTTTAGGCACGTACATACATGAAGATATATAATAATTGCTGAATTATTTAGCATGTCAATAATAAAAGAATGCTCCCAATTCAATAACTTCCTTTTACTTGATTTAATAATCTAAATACAGATATAAAAATAATCAATAAATTTGATTAGTTATAAGTAAATCAAATATTACTTACCGTCAAGAACTTGAACACAATCAATAGATTGACTTCCTAAAATATATACATATAAATATACTAAAACTACAATTTGAATTCAGTTTGAGAAATAAATATCATTACCTGCATTTACTATATTGACAGATTCGGAAATTTTTACAACTGAAACGATAACACATTATTAATTTTTTAAAAATATGAATAAAATGTTATTACCTGGTTTAGGGAGTTTTGAGAGATTCAAAAATCGACTCGTATAAATAGCTTGTGGATGTGTCTGATATTTGAACTGTGCCGAGTTGACTTGATTATATGTTAAGAAATTTTTGTTTAAGTCTTTAATATTTTTAACTTGCTTATATAATTCACTGTATTCACTTTCCAAATCGTCAAAAAATTGATACAGCGTATTAGCTAATTCTTCAGCAGTTGGTCTGATTCGAGGTTCTGCATCTAAGCATTTATTCATCAGATCCAAAAGTAATTGAGGAATTTCGCATCTAATTTTAGGTCTGTAGCCTAGACTAATACGTGTTGCTAGATCTTTGTTGTGTGGAATATCATGATATGGAGGATATATACTTGTACCAGTACGATCACATGAAATGTGTGAGGGATGGTTTGAATAATGTTTTTTGCTGTGGCCTATGCTGATTTTCGCA